AGCTGCACCTCAAACTACAACTGTTTACGTACCGCCACCCCAACAGCAGCCTGCGTTTGCACAACAGCCGACAGGTCCTCACCCAGGCCAGCATCAACCCTACCAAAGCCCACAACAGTACCCTCCAGCGACCTATCAAATGCAGGCCACTTCTCCATATCACGGTAGCCAGGAACCACCACCACCTTATGATTACAAGAGCACTGCTGCAAGTCCAGAACCTGTCGTACCTTCAGCACCCCCAGCTTACTAAAAATAGATTCATTGTCATGTAGGTTTAAGGTAATAGTCAGCAGTTTGTAGTGGGATGTAGGCCTACATGCAGTATGTAGACCATCTGTAAGGTTTCCAATGTGTACTTTATATCTTCACAATGTGGTGTACTGCAAGCTATTCGCACATTGATAAAGTTTGGTTAGAATCGCTCACCCTATCGGCGATAGTCACTGACAGTTGTGGATAATGTTGAACCTAATTCAACTAAGCCGATTCCATTGCAGACAAATTAAGGTGCAGTGCTAGCTGCCCTGATGCAATCAGGAAGGCACCCGATTAGTCTGCAACTTAAAAAAAAAGTTGAACCAGGTTCAACCTTCCCGACATCTGTCGGCAACTGTCACCGATAGTGGGAGTGATTCTATGGAAACCAAGCCTAACTCTACATGATGTTATGCCTTGTCCAGGCAATCAAGTTTAATTTGACAATAACATGTGACATGTCTAAATATGGTCATGATAACATCACATCCTGAACATATATATGCACATCATGACTATATATGGGCATACAACAGTTTTTTGTCAAAGAACTTGTGATAATCTGGACACAGCCTTTATGATATCAGATACTTATGATGCAATGCCATATCTAGAATTATTGACTTGGAGGGCACATTGATAAGGGATGGTGTTGGAAGCTGGGTGGTATGGGGGCTTGCTGCCAATTGATTTGTGGTCTTATTGAACTACTTGAGTGTCATATTTTGCTCAGTTAGAGGGTGCGACATCTTTTTCAAGGGATGTCCCTTCCCCACACAGCCTTTTGATATGCCAGTGATAAAAATGTGCAAATAAATAAACTATTATAAGTACTGGTATTTCTGCAGCTTATTCAACATTCTACCAACTGTATTTAGTGTTCAACAATACAACATTTTTAAAAAATATTTTTGAAAGTTGTAATTCTAATGTTGTAATTTTTTAATTTTCAGTAGAATGGAAAGTTTGTGTATTTTATGAATTACCAATCAATAGATGGGTTAGATATTTTTTTTATCAGTATTGAAAACATTTCAGTTGAAAAGCTGTATACCTATTTGCTGTAGTTAATTATGTATTGTTTTAATATGAAATAGTTGAGCTTTATATTGTTTTTATATATTAGTATGCAACAAGTAGATGATATGGGTGATTTTTGTGGTCCAAATGTGCATTCTAAATGAGAAATGCAGTAACAATTAAATTTAAACCAATTTTATGTGAAATAAGAATTAAAACATGTGCAAATCAGTATTTCCTTAGATTTTAATTATATTAGAATATAGAGTGTTTTTATATTAGATTATAGGAAGGTATAAG